GTCAGTGAGATGTGGGACAAAAAAAAACAGCAAAGGTACAACAGCCCAGTCATGACCACAACAAGAAAGCAAAAGAACACAGAACTAGATGAAATATGTATGAATGACAGGACTCAGCAAAGTGTGTGCTAGTATTGTGCAGATAAGCTTTGCAAACAGTCTTATGCTGTTATGTGTCAAGAGAAAGCACAGCTGTGACGCACTCACTGCTCCTGCTGTGTTGGCAGACAGAGCAGTATTATACATTACTGGTTGTAGTCCCAGTAGTCCCAGTTGCAGGTTTCTGCAAATCAGATGTCACAAGAGTGCTGCATCATACAGCCTGTGGTCTGTTGCACACCGGGATCCAAAGAGTGTCAATATTTTCCTAAACTTTGCTTTGGTTCACACTGTAATTGTAGATGATTAGGAGCAAGAGTTTAAAGATCTTACCAGACTGTAAAGTTCCTGGAACATTTTAATTGTTTTAAGAAGCATGAATCATCTCATTCAAAGCTCGTTGTGTCATGTCTTGATGTGTAGCTGTTGGTCGATTATACTTAATTGTGGTCAATGATCAGTGACGGAATGTTTTTGAACATTTTGTCACAATTTTTTGATAAATTAATCAAAAGAATAAAGACTTCAATATGACATTATCATCAGTCCCAGACTGGTTTCTGCTAAGCAGTCTGTCTCACATCAATGGGCCTCAGAAGTCCCAACTAAATTCCTTAATGTGAGCAAATCCTCACTCTGTCCATGTCCCCCTCAGAGTACACAGATGATGAAGGTCTCATCTCCAAAGGCTGCTCTGTCATCGTCAGGAGAATCCCCATCAGCGGAGGCAGGTCCAGCTCAAGCAGCAAGACCTACAACAAGTAAGAGCTGTTTTTTTAGGTGGGTTCCTGCTCTGTTTCTGTCTTTGCAAAAGCTCCTCTGTACCTACAAGAAGATGCAGATTCACTCTTTGAGGACCCCGCCAAGAAACAAGAGGTGAGTCCCAACTCCCCTAATTGCACCCGCTCCCTCACTTCATCTTTCCTTGTCTTAGTCCTGCCGATATAAGGAAATGCAAGGAAAAACTGAGGAGAGAGGAACCAAGGCAACATGTTTTAAACTGACATGAGATCCTCCGATCATTCATGTGAAGTGTCTAGTCACTAGCTTAAGGGGCGTGTCAGTCCATAACAGACTTCCGTGAAGGATGCACTCGTGTTTCCTCGGTTATAGCTCCTCCAGGCAGCCTCCTCTCTCCTCGCTCCTCAGAGCAGAAATAAGGGCTTTGGGACATCCTTCATCATGTCAGACCAGAATGACTTCCGGGTGGAGCTAGGATCGGACACCAAGAACAATAAAATAAGGGAACTGGGATTCACCATTTGCTTTTTAGTAGTCACCCTTTCACATTAACAGCCTACGATGGCTATGGATATTGGCTAAAGACTCATTTTAATATGAAAATGAGGCTAAATATTGGTCGAAATATTCTTTTTATAATTTTGTCAGTGCCACCCAGCTCTGCAGTTACATTCTAATAAATGAAAGGATGAGCCAACGATGGATTTTCTAAACTGCATATTGGCCTGAGTTCAGTGGACATACTTGTCAGTGAATATAGATTTATATATGTTCTTCTTAGTATAAAAAATAGTGTGGTTGTTAATGGAGATGTATGGGAGGAGTCATTTTTAAAGATGGTGTTTTCAGGGATCACGCTGGTGACTAAGGCGATGCTAATAACTTCATCTGAAATGTGTACGGAGGCTTATTTCAGCTGATGGTCGACAGCTGATTAAACTGCATAACCCTTCCATGCTAAACTATGCTCAATGGAAAAGAGGACAGAGCTGTAACTCCACGGTGACGTCCACAGGGATTACCCAGACATTAGTCAGCTTAGACAGGAGAGCCAGCAGCGGCATGGAGAGCCGGAAGAGACCCCACATCAACTCGCTGGCGGTCATGTGATCAGTCCCGTCAGCACCATGCAGTCGGGTGGGCAGGAAGGGAGGACTAGAGTGATGCAACGCTGCCCACAAGATAACATGCAGCAAATCATCTCTCGCATTGCAAGTAACCTTCAGGTGTGAGGCTTTTCCATGTCCATTTTACAAAAAAATAAAATTTTATTCATAAATACAAGTCGTTAAGACGGTTTCAAACAGCCCCAGGTGGCTACAGCTGCCATGTTTAGTGGACTGTTTGTCATATTGAACAGTTCACTTGGCCAAGTATTGACTTTGCGATACTGCAGTGATAATAAACTGGTTTCGGGGACTGAGGGTGTTTTTCTGAAGCCACAGTTGTGCACCGAGTACAACAGTGAGACATCCGTGACAAAAAAACTGACAAAGGTAAAAGATTCTTCAACCAAATTAAGATATTTTCTCTATAAATTACAGATTAGACAACATTTTATAAACTTTGATTTTTAAAGAAAACCTGTAGCTATACAAGTTGTTGAAAGTGGAAATATGAAAAACTAATAAGGAACAGTTCCACACCTGCTCCACTCACAGCGAAACCATTTCATCTTTATAGATCTGTAAGCGTAACGCTGTAGGGGCATTCTGGGTAATGTAGGAAATCAACACTTAAAGTGGAAACGGACCAGGCAGATTTAAGGGACCACAGAGTTTCTTGTGGAATGTGGTCCTGACATCTCGAGCCAGGGTTACAGGCTGGACCTGTGCTATGGGTGCCACCCTGGGGAGTCGAGGACCTTCCCACTCTCTACTTGAAATGCTTCCTGAGCTGCAGCCAGGCTGGTGTTCATTAAGTGTGTCTTTGTACTTTTGAGTGTTTTGACAGTATTTCCAGTAAAATGTCTCCTTTTCATGATCATACATTGGTGTAGTTTCAGCTTTAGACTTAATTTTCACGCTGTTAATTTATTAAAATCAGAAATTATTTCCTTTTGTGTTTCAGGGAGAGTTCATGCATCCAGCTTCACCACAGCTTCAGAGCCACCAAAGCAGTACGTAACCAAACCAAATGCACCCACACCTCATCTGTAGCACCGCTTAACACTTGCTATGGCCAAACATAAAATATCTGTTTCACTAATGAAACATTCAAGAGCTTTTAGAGCTACTCGGTATTTGATTTACTGCTCTGAGATAAGTCAGATTTAACTGACAATATTTTAAAAGTTACGACAACATAGTATTTTGTGTTGCACAAGAAAGTGAAGTGGCGCTTCCAGTTTAACCGGTGCTATATGCTTAGATATTCTTTCTCTTAAAGGCTCTCAGGTGTTCATTTAACAAGCTGCTGTGGCCCCATTGCTGATTGTTGAAGAGCATTCCCTCTATCTGTGGGTGGTGGTCGCTGCTCGGGTGGGTTAGACTTTATCGTGCAGGCCAGCTGTTCAAAGATAAACCCAACTGTTGTTTTACTATGCTGTGCTGAAGGCCTTTACTCACTCGCCTGTCGTCCAGGAGCTGGCACTTGCTCACTTTTCATTTATGGATCTTTTGGGGCACCTTACGACTACTCGACAAGTGCCGCATGGTTTCTTGATAGCTAAGCAGCTTGTGCTAATATGACTCATTAACTTGAATTAAAACTGTTTTTAATGTATTTTATTAAGTAAATTGGATCTCGTTCAGTTGTCCGATAAGACTGGAGTTCCTCATCCACAAAAACACTCAAAATGCAAAATTTAGCATCAGAATGAATAAAATCTCTCGTGCGCTGTGAAATTCTTAACACCATCCAGACTGTTGAAATCCAGTCAAGAAGTGGAAGAATATCGATTTTTTTAAAAAGAACTTAGAAAAGACCTTTGCTTCTATAGAGGAAAAAATCTAATTACTGTGGCAGCTTAGCTTTGATATAGAACAATACAAATATAATGCTGCCTCTCTTGAACCCAGTCCTCAGTAGCCAAGTAGTGCACAGTTATTTCATGCTGTCTTCTCTTTACTTGCTGGAGTCTGAATGAGTGTGCACTGACCTGATGTTCTCTCTGGTTTCTCAGTAGGACAAGTGTCTGCCACTTGTCTTAGCACTTTGAGTTCGATGGATAGTGTAAACTTTGTGTATGTGTGATTTTATACCAAATAAAGTCGTTTGTTTGAAGCTGCCTTATGTATTGATTATGTTTTTAGCTTGACTGGTGATGACAGCATCAGTACACAACCACAGTCGATAGGTCACCTCAGAATAAGACATTGTGTAAACAGTCTCTGGAATCATACGACATTTCTAATTGATGATTAAAATCTTAAGTTTCACATTTTTCCTTTGTAGCAAAAGCAAATTAAACAGAGAATAATAGTGTGCACACTGTAATCACATTGGACAGGTTTAAGGGGGGGGGGGTGATAAAGTCTGATGACCCTCAAGAAGCAGATTTTTAAAAACTGAAGCAGCACACGTCCTGAAAGCACCTTGTATGAGTCAAGCTTTGAAAAACATTTGGATCCTACACTTCCCATAATGCAACTTGATAGCATCTATTATTAGACTTGGCTGACCGTTACTAAACCCAGGCAGGAAAACCTACCACAGATAATAGAAGGAGCTCAGAGAGTATCTTTATGGGTTGGACTTAAAACAGTGACCAATAGCTTCAGTTTGATAGTGTTCACATCCACATCAGACGATTAATGTAGGACCTGTCCACCTGTGAGTGGCAGGAAGTGGGTAAGATGAGTCAGCTTTTGGTCACAACAATCAGTGTTGGTTACTGTTTTGTAGTGAGGCTCTGCCAGGCCGGGAGCACAGACAGGCCAACGGGGCAGTCGGACTGAGGTCAGGCAACTCGTTGGTCTGCTGAAGGTAAACCAGTCTTCAACTGCTTGGCCATAAAAACTCATTAGTTGTCCAGTTTGTATGTTTAGGACCACTGCCCTGCTGCATTGTCTCAGAACTTATCCACAGATCTTGCAGTGCTCACTGTGGATAAATGGATGTGAACCCTCCCACTCTTAAAAGTGAAAGTATTGGACAACTTGACCTGACGGTGGTGTGAGATGGATCACCAGACTCGCTGGGAATCATCCTCAGGGGGGATATGTTTGTACAGTGTTTCACATCTGTCCAAAAAAAGAGAGTTCAGTCTGGCGTTCTCATCACACACATCGAGTGCTTTCTTGGTTTGTGCATGTGTTCCAACACAGCAGAGGACAAATCAAGATCAGACGTTTGAGGAAAGTGAAGTAGACATTAGGTGATGTTTTTTATTTTTGCTGACATGACAGGTGTAAAATTCCCAGGAAGCGTCGTCGTCTTCACTTTCAGTGTATGCACTTTTAAGTTGACAGCAGGTGCTGAGGCAGAAATCGTGCGACGTGAACAGTGTGGTGACGTTTCTTACCCACCCTGTATGAGAGTCACTGCTGGATGTTGGTGTAAATTTGATCTCAGTTCAAAACGGCAGCCGTTGTTTTCATGTTAACGGGAAAAATAACCAATGGTGGTGGAGTTCTTGTGTCATGAGTAACAGGACAAATGGTCTTGTTTTGCTTTTTTTCTTATGAACATAGAGGCTCTTATGTGTGTTTAATTCTAACAGATGGATACCCAGAGTTCTCCCAGAACCTTGCCCATATTCGCTAAGGTATGCCGTCTCTCTTCTGTTTTTTTTTAATTCAGCTTTTACACATTTATCCTGGTTCACGTGAGCCACTTTGAATTAAACACTGATCCTGTTTGACCTGCCATCTGTGTGTCTGTTGCACAAATGCATGTATCTGTGTGCATGCAGATGGCGAACCTGGCTGATGCAGATGTGTCAGAGGAGGATAAAATCAAAACGATACTTAATCAGTCCACCTACGATGCCTTAAAGTGAGTCACTTCTGTCATGTCGTCCATTCCTTCATGTGTGTCAGTCTCACTGCTCTTCTACTCTTCTCTTTTTTTTTTTTTTCTCACTCTAGTTACAACAAGAAGTCTTCTACTGTTCTCCCAGCAAACTACACATGTTTTCGCTGTGGAAGTAGCGGACACCACATCAGGAACTGTCCCACCACTGGGGTAAGAGCAGAATGTGGGAGTCTCACTGGGAAACTTTTGATTAACATGTGTTTGCATTTATCTTATGTTATTTGTCTGTTGATGTCGTCTCCATGTGTGGGTAGTGTTGACTGCTGCTTACTATCCTATAAGGCCTAGGATTAAATGTAGATATGTGTGTGTTTGACAGCAGGATAAAAATTTCGAGGCCCCTCTGAGAATAAAGAAGAGCACAGGCATCCCTCGTTCCTTCATGGTTGAGGTGAATGATCCCAGTGTAAAAGGAGCCATGCTGACCAGCTGCGGACGTTACGCCATTCCTGCCATAGATGCGTGAGTCTGAACATACTTGTGTGCTCTTTTTGCCACGAGTTAGATGAGAAGATTGATGCCATTCCCATGAGTCCATTCAATGCAAGTCTATAGCCAGTAGCCAGTTAGCTTAGCATAAAGAGAGAAACAGCTAGCCTGGTTCTGTTCAGAGGAAATGACATCCACCTACCAGGATCATATGATGATGTTCACCTTAAATGAAGCTCTGTACAATCTGTGCACCATGTAAGAGATCTTGGACAATCCACTTTTAGAAATACTTGGCTTTGTTTTATGATTTATTAGAATTTTTCCATGTTATATACTGTATATTTATGCTGTCTTGCTACCTGATTATGATGCCTCTGGGAGATGATTTGTTTTGCTGGCTTTTCTATACAATGACAATAACTTGAACTTGATTAAAGCTCACTAACATATAATATCTCATTTCCTATCTTTATGCTAAAGTAAACTTACTGGCTACAGGCAGTAGCTACTATATTTAATGCACAATGTTCTTGTCTATTTTGTGGCTAGAAAGTGAGAGTGTATTTCCCAAAATGTCAAACTAACACTTTCCAAGGAAAGTGTGCAAACAGTTTACATCACAGTGGCTTGTTCAAGAGTGTTTTTTATATAGTTGTGAATCCAAGAAGATGGCATGACAAACATAACCGAGCTGTTTGGTTATTACTTCCCACCTGGACGTACTTGCATGTTGTGAGTCCAAGCGAATTATTGCATTAATTGTAAATCTCATTTACAAGTGTCTGCACACTGACAAAACAACAAAGAGGCCCAAAAAAGTACATTTATTACATGTGGAGCCGATAAAATTAGAGAATGTAAATAAAAATGTGAACATTTTGGTTAAGTCACCTTCATCGGCACAGCTTCCAGATCCAGTCTGTCCTTTAACTGAAACATTCACATTGTTAGAGAACCGCTGAGGCCTCTTGGATGAGTGGCAAGAGTTATCTTGGGAATATCCAGTGACCTGGATAACTGAATCCTCATTGGCACAATTAGCCAGAGTGAATTTCACACACAAATGCTACGGGCTGAATTCCAGCAGGAAGTGTGTGCTCATCAGCCGGCACTCGTGTCACATACAGCAACCGTGTGACCTGTGTCACTCTGGTTAAAAGTATCCCTGGAACACAAGAAAGGCAGATGTGAACTTGCAGTGTGTGTACTACTGTCTGCCTGCAGAGAGGCATATGCCATTGGGAAGAAGGAGAGGCCTCCGTTCCTCCCACAGACACAGTCGAAAGCTGTGGAGGAGGATCCTATACCTGATGAACTCCTCTGTCCGATCTGTCATGACCTGCTGAATGACGCTGTGGTCATACCCTGCTGTGGAAACAGCTACTGTGATGAGTGTGAGTGTCTGCCACACACAGACACACATCAAGACAAACGTATGCTATGATACTTTAGAGAATGAACCAGTTCTGATCGTGATGGATCCTTATTACCAGTCCAGGAGCTGATGTGTTTGCCTCTGTGGTACTTGGTAACTCCCAGAGATAAAGATCAAGTTAAACTTTGCTACTGCACTAGACGTATCTGATTCTGAATGTTGACATTTGTAAATATTACTTGCATAGATTGAATCAAAGTCACAGAATAATGCCTGCTGGTAACATGAGCATATAACCACTAACAGATTAACATTGTCATTATCATATTTAAAAGGTTTCCGTTTGAAAAGGAAGAGCATTTGAGGCTGTGGTCTCACCTTCTTTCTGTTTTGCACAGGTATTCGCACCGCCTTGCTGGATTCAGAGGAACATGTCTGCCCCACGTGCAGCCAATCAAATGTCTCCCCTGATACCCTGATAGCCAATAAATTTCTCCGACAGGTGAACAGAGAAATGGATAGAAACTATATGTTGATCTTAGAGTTGGAGGGGAATAGAAATAATGTGATGTCATCTTATTTTGGTCTAATGCATCTGATCAGAAGATTTACGTTTATCTTCAGTAGAGAAAAGCTCTGACAGCACTCACTATACTCGTCGTCTCTCCACACAGGCTGTGAACAATTTTAAGAAAGAGAGAGGCTTCATCAAAAGTCTGAAAAGTTGTGGTACCTCCCAGTCCCAAAATCCAACCCTGACACTGAGCCATGAGCCCACCCCGCCTCCTTTCCCCTTGCAGCGCCAGCCTCAGAAACCTGACCGACCTGCCGGCAGCCAGGAGGTAATCGTCTTAATGATGGGTTTCATCTTGGAGGCAGGAAAACAGAATAGTCCTGTATCTCAGTGACTCAGGAGCAAACAGAATAATTATAGTTTTCTTTCTCAGGTCCCAGTGATCATTCTCTTGTGAAAGCCATTGAAATAACTGTTAGATACTACAGTATGCTTTAAACAGAATTCTCCATGTTCAACCTTTAAAAGAAATATATGCAATATACATTAATATTGTTTGTTCCATTGTATTGTGTTCTTGGCTATATTCTTTTGTTGTTTCTGCTCTGTAGGACTCTCTCCTACTCCACTCAGAGGCAGCAGACACACTGCCACTGTCTGGGTCTCCTCCTGTGACAACAGGTCCCACCTCTGCTTGCAGCACACCTGGCACTTCCCTCCAGCCTGAGCACAGCCACCTGGAATTACATGACAAGTATGTTAGCAGAGAGTCACATGCATGCATTGACTGTGATATCACTCAGGGATACAGTGGATTGTGTGTCACAGATGTTCAGTGTGCAAATATGCATGCTGTGTAAATGACACTGTGAAAGTGATGCTTCACCCTCTGCTGCCTTATTTCTGCGTGAAGCTAAGCACATCCTCAGGTTTCATGTCGTAGTGCTTGAGGACTGTTAGAAAATGAGGTCACAAGGTTAGCAAACAGCTTTATGTCATTACATATGGGGCAACAGGTCTGGGGCCTCATTTATGTTTGATTTCAAACGATTTTTGTTCGCACTTGTATCTGTGATGGTCAGATCACAAATCAAACTGCAGTCTGCCCAGGTTTTCTCAGGCTACATGCAAATAATGGCCGGTCCTACTCCAGTGTGCTGGTGAAACTTCTAAAAATGTCAGAATAACTTCTGCTCTTAAGAAGTTTTGTTATAACAGTGACAGTTTAACTAGCTAGCTATTGATAAATTGACAGACACATGGATGAATATTTTCTTTCTTTGCTCTCAAGCAGCCGCTTTCCTGCCCACACACATCATTTAGCGCTTGAACTAATTAGCAACCACAACATTGGTCTGTATGAAATACCCAGAGCCACACTTTTCTGGCCAATAACGATGTCATTTCAGTGTAAAATCAGCCACTATTAAAAGAGGAGACAAAGAATGAAATTAGGGTGAAGACTTGAACCACCAGTGTTGGAGAGTTTATGGTTTGTAGCATCAGATCTTTAGCCGGATGTGTCTAAAAAGATTCATAACAAGTGCCCAGAGAAGTTGAACATTTAGTGAAGTCTGGGATCAAATATAGCTCCATGGATTTGGGACGTAAGAAACAAGACAAACGATGACACTGATGCTGTTTTCAAGTGGTACTGACTGTGACGCGTCTGCTGTTTATACAGGGAGGCTGAGGAAGCGACACAAAATGACTCAGCAGCTGCTGCTTCCCAGTCTGTACTGGTTCCAGACAAAGAGCCCACTGCTGCTCCATTGCAGCTGATACCAGTGGTGAGGACACACACACACACACACACACACACACACAGACGCACACACACAGACACAGTTTGTTTGTATGAAATCTGTGATGTTTGTGTCCCTTCAGGTGAAACGGCCAACGGTGGCAGAGCAGCCCCAGTCAGTCAGTGTGGATCGACAACAGTCCTCCTTAGGTGAGGGACTGACAGCATTAACCCTTTGTGTCTGTTCATTGTACTCTTACACAAGTTTTAAATAAATAAAAATTTCTCTCAATCCAAAGGTTCGGCACCAAGACACTCTGGGCCTTCATCTGGCTGGGACAGGTCAGTGAAGTGTGTGTGTGTGTGTGTGTGTGTGTGTGTTTGCTTAGTTCTGGTCTGTATTAGTGCTGCACAGTTAATCGTACTGTGAGTGTGATTCAGATCCCTGCGCCATCTCAGTCTCACGTGACAGTGATTCTGCCGTGTTGGCATTAACAGTGAGATCCCTAGCATCAAACTAAGCGCTCCTTTTTCCTCGTCAGCTCCTATTGGGCACTAGGTGCAGGACACCACAGAATATCTTTCACAGTGTCGAACATGTCGGATCAGTTTTTGAATCAGTCTTCTCTTCCTGACTACAGCTCGTCACGTAACGATTTCCTGCTATTGGTTAACGCAGCTTAGTGAGGAAAAGGGAGCGCTTGGTTTGATGCAAGGCATCTCCCTGCAGGATTATTGTCACGTGAGACTGAGCTCGCACAGGGATCAAAATCATGCACACGATATGATTAATCGTGCAGCCCTTGACTCTATTCACACTTTGAGGACCAATCTCATCTCCTCTTGCTCTGTCTTCCCCACAGCTCCTCTTCCTCCTCAGGTTGTCCCACTAGAGGCTGGACCAATTCCCAGCAGTTTACTTCCTCCTCCTTTTCATATTCAGCTTCTGCACCACATCTCCTTCCCTCCCCCCTTTTCCTCTCAGCTCACCAGTCTCATAGCACTTATTCCCCTGGATACCCACATACCACGCCCAGCTGGACGATCCCAAACCCCCAGGGTGCCCCCATCCCCTCCCTCTGCCCCCCTACCTCAACAACATCCTTCTCTGCACTCGAAACCAGTGACTGGTACAGCCATCAGAGAAAAGAGAAACAAAGGTAATAGTGAACAGTCATCTGCTCTGCGTGTTCCAGGCAGCTACTTACATAATAGCATATCTGCAAGTCTCTTGTATGGAGAAAGACTTTGCCAGCTGTTTTCTTTTTCTTAAGGATTCTTACTTCAGTTCCAGGCAATGAAATACATTTTAAAGTAGCTTTATTGGATCCTGCAAGTTGTGTTTGAAGGGAATTAGATCAGGTATTAAATTTTATACAGTATTACATAATTTGCCCTGCTCAGTGTTTATTTCCATTAAAAACTAGGATCCTTATCAAAAATGTTTAGATCATTTGTTGTATGTAAAAAAGAATAAAAAATAATGTTGGACAATATATTATCAGCCTTCAGTGAGCGATGTCAGGTTTCTGGTTGGACTGAATGCAGCAGAAACGTGGTGCACAGTTTAGTATCAGCTGAAGAAGAAGTGTAGTCTGAGGAACCGATGTTGATAAGAACATGAACTGTATACCGTGGCTAAGTTGCTTCCCCGTCCATGTCACTCAGGTCACCTCCCAGAGGATCTGCTTGCAGGCGCTCCTCCTCCTCCAAGACCAAGACCAAGTCCAAGTCCAAGTCTTCTTGCTCCTACTCTCGCTCTTCAAGCAGGTCTGGTTCCCGTTCGCGGTCCAGATCCCAAGGCAGATCAAGGTATTTTGTGTCCTTTATTTTAAAAGGATATTTTGTTTTGTTTGTGGTTTTTTTTTTTTCTGTTTTTTGCTCAAAAAAAAAAAGAAAGACTAACATGATCTTCTCTTGTTGTGTTTTCCCAAAACACTGACCTACTGGTTTTAAATGCAATGACATACTTTGAGTTTTAGATGTTCCTCCATCTTCATTTTAAAATTATATTTGTTCAAACTCAAAATACCAATGACTCATTAAAATGTGTGTAACGTGTAACAGATGACTCGTGGTCTTTTATTTCTTTGTTTGGTTTTTTTCCAGGCCCCGCTCACCTTACTCCCAGCACAGAAATGTCCACACCCGCTCTCATCCCTCCCGCTCTTCTAACTCCAGTTACAAACGCTCACGTTCCCCTACATTGTCCTCATCATCGTCGCCTCAAGTGGGTTACTATTACAGGTCCAAGTCACCATCAGACCACCGTAAAAAACACCACCACAGCCGCCATCAAAACAGGAAGTCGGCTTCAGGCAGCTCTAGTTCCAGAAGGCGAGGAGAGCCACCAAGGAGGGAAACGGGAGGCTCAGAGGGAGGTTTAGCCAGTTGCCTGTATGCTCAGTATACAAACCAGCCAACCAGTCTGGATGTGGACAGAGAGCGCTACCTGCTGTGGAAGAAGGAGTACAAAGAGTGGTGTGAGAAATATTTCAGCGGCTGAGCACAGTCTGTCCTCCCCACCACCATT